CTCCGCCCGACCCTGTTCCGCTTCTCCAACACTACCCCTATGTCCTCCAACACTATACCCTTTCCATCCAACCCTATCTGGGGTTCTGCTCCTCCACCCTATCAGTCCGCCCGGTCCTACTCCCTCCGCTTTTCCGACCCACTCGGTTCCTTCAGTTCCGCTCGTGTTGCCCCACCCAACGATTAGTCCACCCGACTGCCTCACTGGTCCACTCCTAGACTAGGAACCACTCAACTGGTCCTATCCCTGTTTAGTATCATAGTTCCGCTTTTCGGATCACTAGTAATCCCTATACCCTAGCGATTCTGATCCGTTGTGTACATACTGTTCCCCGAGCCTTATTCTCGTATGTCTCAGTCATCCTATTGTAATCCTGTACACTCAGCACATAGCCTTCTGCTATGCTATGCTCATCACTTAGAGTATATAAATATATGTACATTTGTCTGTAGATACTCAGTCTGAATATCACCTTTTCTAAGCCCTGCTCTTCTGTTCTCTGACTTGGGCCTGATCCTAGTCAACTCCTGTTAGCCGGCCTAGGGGATTGACTCCCTAGGTCGGCCACCCTCCGATCCTCCGCTCCTCCATTCCTCTGTTCTGCTCTGCTTTGGACTTCGTCCAAACAGTCCCTTCCACTCCGCTTCTACTGTTGGTTCCAACCACAGTAGTCTCCCGCCTCCCTCCTGTCAGGTGGAACAACCCCTGCCCAACTTTCCTGCACTCACCTAGTAGTCCATTGGTCCTCCTTCAGAGGACCCCCATTCCGACGTCCTGTCGGAACTCCTAGAACTTGTGTCGGACTACACCCCGAAATTAGGGGCACGTACTCGGGTAAGGGGCACAGCGTACGAGCTGAAGCCAAGCCCCTCAGACTCCGCTTTACCCCTGAGCATGGTCTTAACACAGCTCTTGCGCTGCACCCTTAGCTGAGTACGTGCCCCAAATTTGGAGCAGGACCAACAATGTCTGACAATAGGACGGGCAGACCGCTTTGGTCCACTTTGCAGGTCGGGAGGTAAATGCTACTAGCAGCAGTCTGACTAGAAGCAGAGAGGGTGAAGCAGAGAAAGTGCACTGCAGCAGAGGGGAGTAAGGGGGTTGGTTGGTTAGGTCGGGGAGGCAATAGTGAATACTTAGAGCACAGCTCTAAATCAGAGCGGAGGATCGGAGGTGATGACAAGGTAAACTTGTGTCCGGAGAGAGAAAAGTCCTATGGAGAATTTACCACTAGTAGAGACTGCGGGAAGATGAGTAATATTAAGACTGAGGAAAGTAGCTAAGTACATGATATGTTTTATATACTTCTGAGTAGGAGGCAGTGACCAGTAGTCCATGGTATGAGGCTATGTACAGTTATCAATGGGTCCTTGAGACACTATCACTCCTTGATACAAACACATCTCCTGCATTCACAACACACTTCATAGCCTCAAAAATACTTCCACATGAATAATTGACCTTGCCTCTTACATGGTATCAAAAATTTTATGAACTTAATCAGGGAAATTGCTTTTGAGATGTGTGTTTTCATGCCCCAAAGCATTATTCTGAAATTTATAATCCATCTTATTCAACATTATTCAATATTAAACTGCTTTATCATGCATAAAACAATCAAAAGTGTATTAACAAGTATCTAAGCTCTCCAGAACATGTAAAATAGCCGGAAAACATCATGAATTACATGTGTGGTGTAGAAAACAGTGTTGGCTAGTGTCGTGAGCTTAGACGAGTGTGAACCATTTTGCTGTAGTTGGATAAGCTAATATTAGCTAAGCAGTCACATGTCTCAAGGAACACTAATGGGCAAAAAAGAGGTCCCCTCACTGTTTTGGACATTGTGCTCAAGTGGTTGGATATTTTTCTCTGAAAATTCAGATTTGGAGTGTTGAGGTAGACTACTTGTCAGGAAAAATATGACAGAGTTGTTATCATGTGTTGTATAGGTGTGGTACATAAATTTTCAATTTCGTGTCTCAAGTACCCATTGATAACTGTACTGAGTATACAATTTGTAAGCATTAACACAGGTGAAAACATAAGTCAGAGCAGATATCAATATGTATGTGTCAGATCAGTAATCAAGTGGTTGTAGGAAGTACTGGTGATCCGGGAAGTGTTACAGGGACTTTATGTAAGCTTCTCGGACCAGCTTATTCTCTTTTACCTATCTGCTATCAACACTATCTGTCACCAAAGCGACTTCCATCTAACCGTTCTCTTGGCTTATCTGTACTGGCTTATCCTTCTCACGCCACTTATATGGTTTACCCGTTATCTCTGACTCATACCCTATGCCCTTACCGCATTGTCGGTACTACCCTTGACCCTTACCGTTTAACCAGTACTTCTGCTTTTCATATATAAAGGACTCCATACACTGTAGTAGTCCTTAACTTGAATCTACTCAGTATCATCCCAACAGCCTCAGGACAGAGGGATAGCAAGACAGCTAGATAGCAAGCTCATCGCTTCTATCAATCTACATCTTATTCTACCTTAGACTCTCCTGTCTAGGTAGTCATACAACCTGAACAACGATCACCATACTAGATCGGTACTCCTTGCGGGTATCTAGTATAGAACCAACTGAGTTCGTAACAGGAAGTAAGTTTTATGTGTCAAAGGGGAAGTATCTACCTAAATGGGGAAAGGGGTTCCAGTGGAATGGAGACGATACAGAAGGTAACCGATGAGGCGGTCGAGCAGGAGCGCAGGAGCAGATATCGAAGCTGACTGGATCAAGCAGAGAGTGGACAGAGCGGAGGTGATGGGAAAGTGGGAGGGGTGTAGGGTTGAGCAGAGTGGATATTAATATTGTCGGAGCGGTCAGATCAGGTATATGACATCATCACAGCACTCCATGTGAAGGATCTGATGAACATTTCAAGGGTTGACTCCCTTGTGAGCCACCAAGCAAACAGGCTGTCAAACAGGAACTTGATTTATCTCATTATACAGTTGAATATGAAGAACAGAGATTCACAAGTGGGGAGAAAAGCTTCATCCTTCACACCAGGTGTCTGCTTTTACAAATTCTCGCATGACTGAGTAATGCACACCAATTGTAGGCAACAATGTTTGTACTGGTGTTGGTATTTCTGGACCTGCTTTTACAAATTCTCATGTGACTGAAGTGATGCACACCAATTGCAAGCAATGGTGTTTGTGCTGGTAATAGTGTTTATGAACTGCAATATACTTCCTTGGCCTGAGTTTCATATTACCTTTCCATCAAAATCAACTTAGAAGATAGTGCCTCAAAGATACCATGACTTGATTGGCCCTTCTCTAAACACATTCTTCCTACATAAGGTCAAACATTCTCATGTCAACCCCTCCTCCACATTTGTGGTCATTGTTGTGATTGTTATCAATATAAGGTATAATATGATATTTCAATATGTTCACCAGTTCATTAATGATATAGGGCGCTCTAGGGGGTTAAATAAGGGCTGGGATATGTTCATATATATATTTAGACATATTATCAACACTATAGGGCACCCCATACCAAAGGGGCAAAAATGCGCAACTGTTTTTGATATGTTTTTTATTAGATCACACTTGCAGAGGCTCTGTACCAGGTATTGGTGCAAAAATATACAGAAAAAGCGGTCTATTATGTTCTATGATGTGTATATAACCTATACTACTACTAAAATACAGCCTGTATCTAACAGTGGTGTGGTGGTGAGCCAGGGATGGACTGGGGAGGGTGTGGGAAAGGTTGATATTGTAGAGAATATCCAAAATGGGCTATGTTTTAGGTGTTATGGGGAAGTTCCCACAGTAGTTGGCTAAAAATGCGAACATGTACTGTGGTGGCAGTACAGCCTAGTCTGCTACTTAGCATGTTCTAATGCATCAAAAAACAGGCTAAGGAGCATAATAAATGGATCACCTCTGACTTGTAGTTAGCAGACTTGATGCATGATAGCTACAGGAACTGGTGGAAGGTGGAGTGCTTGCGGATAAAACTTAACGGTAGAAGCCCGAGGTCGTTGAAGACTCGATCGCCTTACATACAATATACATAGCATCGGAGCGGATCTCCCGCTTGATACTGACCCAGCCTCTGCAGTAGCCGACGTGACACTATTCTTGATAGACATGACACGAACGTGTCGAAATAAATCGAAGGGTCTCAATTATGACCTCTTTCCAGCTCTTCGAGTCCCATCGAAGCTCACAGGAGAGATCACATTGGCGAGCCAAGGCCAAGGTCTAACGGGCAGTCATCTCTCGAGTGTCGAGTGTCGTGTCCATTGCATTAAGCAAGGAGTTAAATATGTGTGTATACAATCGTCATGGAAGACAAAAACATGAACTTTTTTTAAGTTCGTATCTCCGAGTCGATCTGCCAAACGTCCAACACTGAGTCGGACGTGAATATAAATTTAAGTGATAGGACGATGATAGTTACCGATTAGCAGTGGTGCTCTCAACCGGTGACACGTTGCACCTAGTAACCTACCTCTGACTGCGAGTACCATGCCATGGCTGCGACATACGGACCACATGAGCCCAGCCAGGTGCGCCTGGCCCACTCGTCTCCGCTAGATACCTTGGTTCGGCGTACTTCGTCCAAACGACAGGCTTTCCAACGGAAAGAAGCTCGAACGCAAGCTGCTTCCTCTTTACCAGTGCCATATTCCTCTCGGGCAACTGGATTTCCACCACCGCTGCAGGATTTGCATGCAACTTCTCCTCCGAGGGCGTATGCAAGTCCGAGAGTGCCCGAGTCCCCTCTGTTGCACTCGGAATTCCGTAATTCGACATCTAGCAATGCTGAATATGTTAACAGCAAGTCATTTTTGTCGTTGACGGACGAATCAAATGGATACTATGACGAACTTGAGTCATATTTTGAAGAAGACAATAGCATGTATTCACTACAAAGCCACGCCGGCGCTTCCAGCCACAGCCGTGATTGGCATACCGCTGAAACAGGACCTGACCTTGTGGACAGTTACACACAACCTTCCTCTCATGATATGCGTCTGCTCAAGGCAAACACTCCCACTTCTTCCGTTCCAACCGTCGTGGTCTCCAAACCCCAGGATGTCGACAAGCAGGTTGTCGTCGATCAACCGAAACCTGGTGGAAGGTCACCCATAGTTGATCCTGCTCCCCGCATAAACTTTTCCAGGCCAGGCAGACCACCAATAATCTCTTCTGAAGAGCAGAAACGCCAGGTTCTTGAACGAAATTCACAAAGGCTTCGTTCTCCACGTACCGCTCATAATACACCACTTTCATATTCCCCCATTACCCCCCAGACAGGCGTCTTCTCTGACAACAAATTCTTATCCCCTGCATTTCCGTCGCCTCAACCTAACACAACTGAGGCGACGCTCCCTAGTTCGTCAGGGTCTTATCTTCAACCACACTATGCTGCTTCTTCCCCGACGCTTTCACCCCCTTCCCATGTACAGCTTCCCTCTCGCCCGCCGTCTGTACGTCCAAGTTCACCAGCAAGCTTGTACTCCACATCGTACTCTTTTTACCATCTAACCGATGGCTCTCCATCCCCGACTGGCAACTCGCATTTTCCTTCTCATTCACCTTCCCCGCCGGGTAACCGTTCACCCTCCACCGAGCCTTCGACTGCACAGGAGTACCTTCAGCTAGGAATACAACATCACGAAGCCAACAAACTACAAGACAGCGCATTCTACTTCGAGAAAAGCGCAAAGGAAAATGGTGGGTGTGGCGTAGGGATGCTCATGTGGGGTTTGACACTGAGGCATGGGTGGGGATGCGAGAAGAATGAGAAGAACGGCTTTAAGTGGTTGACAAAGGCAGCAGAAAGTGCCGTAGATGATCTGGGCAAGGTGAGAGAGGGGATGGATGTGAAAGCTGTGAGGGTAAGTTCCGTCTGCAGGACTGTATATGGGGACTGATGACTCTTCCTCCCTCAGTCGGAGCTTGTGCTAGCGATTTATGAAGTCGGTCAATGCTTCTTCCATGGCTGGGGTATAGCTAAGGACCACAAGATGGCGGTCGTGCGTTAGTCCTCATTTGCCTCTAATTCCTGTGTTAACTACTGCCCAGAGTTACTATCGAGTTGCTGCCAACCTCGGTGACGCAGACGCGCAAGAAGATCTCGGGTTTTGCCTAGCCAATGGCAAAGGGTGCAAGAAGGATAAGAAGGAGGCTGCTAAGTGGTATCGCGCAGCTGTTAGTGGGATCATTAATGTAATTCTGGCAAGTTATAAGTTAACGTTGATCTGTAGGTCGAGCAAGGTGCCAGCGACGTTGGGATGGCATGGATATACAAGGACAAATACAAGGGCTGACGAAGGACGAAAAATCATGCGTCACGAAACAGCTGCACATCGTCAGCGTCACCCAACCCTTCTCAAAAGGCCCATCTCCCGCTGGATCCTCTTAGCGGACGGTGGATAGACGCGCTCTTCTAGGAGGAGAGCTCATGAATCTCTATCACATATACCCATGAATATAGGAGTGGTGGACAGGACAATAGATATACCATTTTGGACAAGTCATTTAATGCATTGTATCCTGAACTGCGATTTAGATGTACAAGCTCCTGTTATCCTTTGCTTTTCCCTTTGAAGGATTATGTTGGTCAAACGCTTCGACATGAAGGACAAGGCGCCAGGGGAGCATGATCTGGCCGACGAAGCGACTGGCCTCGTTTCCCAGAATGTACTCCTCGGTATTGACGAGGATGATATTCAGAAGCTGGTCGGTGCCCATGAATGTGCCAATGAAAACTCGATTATCGGTGGTCGTGATACGGAGGGTATTAGTGAGCAGGGACTTGAGCGCGGTAATAGTATTAGATGGGCTTTTGTCAGTGCTCGACGGTGATACCGATGGTGCAAGCAACGAGGATGACAAGGAGGCCATATGGTCTACGCGTGTAAGTGGAAGTAATAAAAAGAGCCTTGTAAACTCGCACGCTACCTGCCATCGACTACAGAAATTTAATGAACCCTTTCGCCAGCCCAGTCTCGCTGAACATGCAAGGCCAGTACAACACACTAAACACCCACAAGTATTCTGTCATTCTACCAACCTACAATGAACGCAAGAATCTTCCAATTATAGTGTGGTTGCTGGCAAAGGTCTTTGAGGAACAGTGCGTCAAATACCTGCTTGACACGTGGAAAGCCAGACTGAGAACACTAGTCAGCTTGCATGGGAGATCATCGTCGTAGATGATGCGAGTCCGGATGGGACACAGGAAGTAGCCATTGAGCTGACAAGGGCTTATGGCGAGGACAAAATAGTAAGTGCAAATGGATCACGCGTCGACGGTTGGCTCATTGTCGGTCTAGCTTCTCAAACCACGGGCAGGGAAACTTGGACTTGGGTAAGTACTATGAGGAAGAATTAAAATGAACGCGTCGTGAACGTGTGCGCAGGACTGCATATATCCACGGGCTCGATTTCTGCACTGGTGACTTTGTGATAATAATGGATGCCGACTTTTCGCATCATGTACGTGCTCCGCTATTGTTTGACAAACAAGTTCTAATGTGCATACACCTCATCAGCCCAAGTTTATTCCACAATTCATCAGGTATGTTGTTATTTTCCCGATTCTTCGCCGTTAACGATGTGCAGACTTCAACAAGCACACAACCTTGACATTGTGACGGGGACGCGATATCGCTCAACATCCACTCCTTACCTCGCTGATGCTAAGCCTGGTGGCGTGCACGGCTGGGACCTGAAGCGTAAACTTGTTTCACGAGGGGCAAACTTCTTGGCTGCTACTGTGCTGAACCCCGGCGTGAGCGACCTAACGGGCAGTTTCAGGTGGGTATATCGGTTCCAGAAAACGGGTTGAACTTGATGCTGGTGTAGACTATACCGGCTGCCCGTTCTTCGGCATATCATCACCCTGACACAATCCAGGGGGTATGTGTTCCAGATGGAGATGATGGTCAGGGCGCGGGCGCTAGGGTACACTGTTGGCGAGGTACCGATTACGTTTGTGGATCGGATATTTGGGGAAAGCAAGCTCGGTGCGGACGAGGTCGTGGGATATGCAAAGGGTGTGTGGCAGCTGTTCAAGTCGGTTTAAACATACTACGCATTGTTGTCAGACTCGATTATAATTTACGGTTTTGTTTCTTAGATAGTGGATCTGTTCCAATCACACTTGGAGTATTTTACATTGTTTACCGAGGGCATCGTCCTCTAACTTTTGTGACTGCGGCTGTGGTCCACTGGATGACATCATCATTCTATCTTTGTCAGCCTGTGGGTTTAAAGCTTCTAAGCTTCAAGTCCGTGGATTCAGATCTGAATCACCAACTTGTCCAACACTAGACAGCTCAGTATGAGTTTGCTACAAGGCGTGCTTAAATCGCAATCATACTCCCATGATTTGAACGGACTCTCTCTGTCTTCCAGGCAGTCTCAGGCAGAGAATGACTCGGATGATGAGCTCGTTGGCGTGGTATGCCTCCCTGTCGTTCACTCAGTGCCAATCACTTATATCTTCTCCAGTTCTCACTACCAGGCACGCCAGCGAGGTCGAGGGCACCTTCGCGCCCCTCATCACGCCCTGTATCACCCACTCGGAGGGGTCCTGTTCGTTTAGGCAGTGGACTGACATCCAAGGGTCTCTCGAACGACCCCCTAAAGGCATTCCCCACTCAGGTGTCGCAAAATATCTTCAGGTGGCTTGAGATATCAGAGCTCGCGACTTGCGCCAGGGTATCAAGAAAGTGGAATAAGAGCCAGACGCTGAACTACAGCAAGTCATGTTCATATAATTCCACGCACTTCTGTTGTACTAACGATCTGCTGTTACAAGTTTGGTTTCAGCATTATAGGAAGGAAAACTTCCACGACGACAGTCTTCCCCCTGGAAAGTGGACCAGGAGGGAGTCGAAGCAGAATTGGGTGGGTAGTCTGTCTTCCTGTGCCTACCAGCGTGAGTTGATGATTTGAGTTTAGCGGATAACCTACAATCAATTCCGTGCCAAATCGCTCCCCTCCATCGTCGCCGTTACCTTCGAGGGGCTCTGGGCGCACTTCACCATCTCTGTCCGGCTATCAAACGCCAAAGGAACTTAAGGAGGAGCAATGGCGGCAAGAAGAGCTTACGCAAACCCGGCCAGGTAAGGTTGAGATGAGAGAAATGTATAAGGAGCTGGGTGGCCGCAAGAGCAGGACCAAGACAAAGTTGGGAGGTTCTGGCGGCTATAGAGATCGGACGGGTTGGGGCGAAGGAGATGATGATTGAACGATGAAAGGCAAGATGGTACATACAAATGTATAGCTTTCTTGGGAATGACACGCAATAGTTGCGGGATATGTTATATTGCTATCTGTTCATTCATATCCGATCCGAGATATGATAATCTAAGATATGATAAGCCCCTAGCACTGTTCCACCAACTGGGCAAATGCCGAGCGCATCAACTTGATAAATCGGTATATATCTCTCGTTTCGTTGAGTTCGTTGAGCAGTATGGGGAGATTGGGTAAGGGCGGTGTTGTCGTTATCACTAGTTGCGTCGGTAAGCAGTGCTGAGATAGCTCGTTAACCTGCATACCTTGATTGGATCTGGATGCAACATCGAGCACGAAGCTGAACTCTCGGTCAATGTCAACTTTGTCAATGTGTGTAAATCGGATGAGGAGCCGGTCTTTCTCTATTCCTTCGATATGACACCGTAGACGTGTTTCGCAGGCGTTTAATTCTGGCCCTAATTGTGCTGCATGCGTCTCTAGCGTCTGTCGCTCTCGATCTTTTTCTGCAGAAAGTAACGTCAGCGTCAGCAAGGGAATCGTAACGATATTACCCACCCCGTCTTAGATTGGCAGTTAGAGCACGATACTGCTCTATCTCTGCATCGACGGACTGGCAAGTTTCACGGATCGATGCGAGTTGGCGTTTCAGAGCAGTAATTGATGTCTCAGCCTCTCGAACCTCTTCCTTCTCCCTTTCCATCACTACGAGATATCACTGAACAATTTCATCATGACAAGTATAATCACTTACCAGCCAACAGCTCGATCTCCTTCACCTTGCACTGGTTAGTTTCAGCCTTTACTGCAGCAGTCTTCTCAGCCAACCGCTTCTTATCCGCCTCCTGGGCATTCCTGTGTTTGGTAATTTCCGCTACTGCGCGGTTTGCATAGTTGGTAACCGCTCTGAGAAAATTAGATGTGGAGGTTTCATATGCGTGCAGGCGCAGGTCAACAGAGGGGTTTTGTTCTGCAAGGATTGAAGCAAGATCAATATGAGTAGGGCGAACGTGAGGCATAGTAGATTAGCTTTGGCGGTAGTACTAGTACTATTACTACGAATGTTTCCTCATGGGCCAAGCAGAACGCGTCGATCATGTGACCGTATCAAAACCTAAATGAGGCATAAGGTTGAACCGAACTGTACTTGCAGTACTTAGTACTTAGATCCTTCCATCGTCATACAAAGATCGATCGCAGGATAGACTAAGATATCAACTGAAATCTGTTATATGGCCCCCCTCCCATCTCGATCAGACTCGCCCCAGTATCGTGACATACACATGGACACGGCGAAGGGCATCACATTGGGACTTCGGGACATCCACATGGGCACCGCAAAGCCTGGCGGCAGCGCATGGACTGATGATATTTCAATGGACACAGCACGAAACGCTACAACCGTGAAAGCAGGTGGATTTCAGCTTTGGGAGAGAGAGTTGCTCCAGAGCGCCGAGGTCAAGCGCAAGGCCACTGTTGCCCAACTATGTGAGCATCCCACATTGAGACCTCCAACGATCTCATCGTCTAAGATCCTGGCAGTTTTTCTCGACTATTACTTTATGAACCTGGGGTATATCGCATCCAGGAAGGAAAGGAGGGCTCGCTTCGATGCAGATACCACCAAGAGGCAGCTAACGGCTGCTGAGTACGCAAAGGAGTTCAAGTCATATTGCGGGCGAGAAAGAGTTATCTTGAGGAAGCGCAGAGCAAAGCTGAGGGTTGACCAATTTCATATCATCGCGCAAGTCGGGCAGGGTGGATATGGTGAAGTGTTCTTGGCGCGGAAACAGGACACAGGAGAGATATGCGCCCTCAAGAAGATGAAGAAACGTACATTATTCAAGATGGATGAGGTCTGTTGTCCCCTGCCAAATCCGTATGAAGGCTGATGCATCGCAAGGTGCGGCACGTTCTGGTGGAACGCGACATCCTCACCGCAACCAAGACACCATGGCTTGTCCGACTTCTTTACGCATTCCAAGATACGCAACACGTGTATTTAGCAATGGAGTATGTTCCCGGAGGCGATTTTCGTACTCTACTCAACAACTCCGGCGTTCTTAAGGAAGAGCATGCAAGGTTTTATATTTCAGAAATGTTCGTCGCTGTCAACGAGCTTCACAAGCTTGGCTACATTCATCGTGATTTGAAACCAGAGGTGAAACTGTGTGGCATGCGGGAGCTCCTAGTACTGATAGCGCTTCCAGAATTTCCTTGTGGACGGCACCGGCCACGTTAAGCTGACTGACTTCGGCCTTGCCACAGGTGCCCTTAATCCCAAACGCATTGAATCGATGAAGTTAAAGGTACGTGTCTGGCCCTAACATCATCCCCTGCGCCTAATAATTCTCAGCTCGATAAAGTGAAAGACGTCCAAGTCGTCTACCGGTCCACCCTGGAACGCCGCTCCATGTACAAATCCATCCGTGCTGAAGACCCACGGTATGCAGACTCCATAGTTGGCTCACCCGACTACATGGCGCCCGAGGTCCTAAGAGGCAAACCATACACTTTTTCAGTCGACTATTGGTCGCTAGGCTGCATATTCTTTGAATTTCTCGCTGGTTTTCCGCCGTTCAGCGGCGGCACGCCAGAGGAGACCTGGACAAACCTGAAGAACTGGACGAAGGTGCTGAGAAGGCCAGAGTATGATAAGCCCGAAGACTTGATCTTCAACTTGACGGATATCGCGTGGGATGCCGTGACCAGGTATTGGATTTGCTACCGCGCATTGTCTGACGATGCTGAATGCCTCTTGCTCCTCGTTCAGGCTCATCTCACACTCGAGCGTTCGATACTCCACTCTTACCCAAGTAACAAGCCACCCTTTCTTTGATGGGTCGCAATGGGACGACCTCCGCTCGACACGCGCACCGTTTGTGCCTGCTCTTGACTCAGAGATTGACACTGGGTATTATGATGATTTCACTTCTGCGGAAGACATGGCGAAGTATGCTGAAGTGAAAGACAAGCAGCGAAATGTGGAGAAGGTGAAGGAAAAAGAAGAGCCAGAAGCCCGAGGTGTCTGGGTGGGCTTTACATTTGGCAAAAATGGTCCAGGAGGAAAGCTGTTTGGTGCATTGGATTCTAGCCAAGATGACGGTGGTGCACTGGCTACTATATTTTGACATCGTGGTACTCTCGCTAGCGGTTATGCGAAGCTGCTCAATGTCTCGTGCATAGCGCGCTCATCATGAATTTTTTCCCTATCACCCCGAGTATCAGATTTGTTATTGCTGATGTTCGACTGTCTGAAGAATCGGTGCCCCTTCACGGGTACCCTTCGTCGCTGGCTCGTCACCCTAAATATCTCACTGGTTTTCTATTTCCACACACAACTTAAGTACAACTGAGAACGGCGTCGGGAGACTGAACAAAAAGAACAACTTTATACTTACGTCCAGTGTTTCAGTTCGAGATCACGGTGCCTTTCGAATCTGACGAACCCAATATTCTTGTCCTCCACAACGATAGTACACACATATATTTAGCTTCCAATGCAACAGATGCCACACTGTCTAAAAAATAAAATACGCAAGTAACCTACGGGTACACCCATCATATCCCTACTCGTCTTCTAGGTGTTTGGCCAACGCGACTGCCTGCGGTGCCTGGATGTCTCGGCGTTCCAGGCACAATGATCTTTGAGCTACTTCCACTGGACACCTTGACCGCGAGAGCTTTCTCTGCCTCTTGCCGTGCATTCCTGCAACGGCCGTCAATAAATAAAAAGCCATTTCGTGAGATTGTCGTTTACATACTCTTCCCTTTGCTTCGCGATTTGGGATTCCAATTCAGCTTTTCTTGAGAATTCTCGATCAGCTTGTCGCCTCATTCCACGATCATCAAAGTCTTTGAATTTGACCGAGTAGAACACCGAACCGAACTCGGCTATGATCATCATTAATTTACGCCATAATAAACATGTGAGATGAATTGTCATACCTAGCCACATGGCATCAATTGCAGTGACCTGTGTCATGTACTCCTTGGACGTTAAGATCAACTCATGATAAACAACGTATGTGGGGGTATCTTCGTCGTCGTCGTCGTCAACGAAACTCAGGAAAAGAAAAATCAATCACGTACATCCAAGGCCATACAGTGCACTCGTGGGATGCAGATGTGTCGGTAGACCAGTACGGATATTCACATACTCGCCAATGCCTTTCACACGTGCACATTGGTGGAAATAGCCAGCGGTGATGGCTTTCCTGCGAAAAGGTCAATACAACATAATTGAGCAGCTATAATACAATACCTGACGACGTCGAAGTCCGTGCCAGCCGAAATGATCTCCATTTTCTGGAACTTCATGATGTCCTCCAACTGAGCCCTCACTTCACGAGCCTTGCGGAGCAGTTTCGGGTGCAAAAAATGACGCGTGGCCCAGTCATCGCGGAAGCTACAAGTTATGATGAGCATCCTAGTAGCAGTGACAAGATGAAGACCCTCACCCGTGACTCTTCCATTGGTTGAAAACATTTAACAACGTTAAATGATCGCTCTCTGGTACATTGAACTTTTCCCGTGCCGCATCGGCCTCTTCCATCCTCTCCTTTGGTCTATAGAAGATGCTTGGCACTGAAAGCATGGACACAATAGTCAACATCTCTGCTGAGCACCTCATCTCCACAGATGCAATGAGCATCTTGGCCATGGAAGGCTCCATCGGGAACTCGGACATTTTCCTGCCCACAGGCGTCAAATCGCCAAGATTATCCAGCGCACCCAAGACCCAAAGTTGGTACATTGAATGTATAATGTTTGCTTGAGGAGGAGGATCCATGAAATCGAACTCGAGAAGATTCTTGACGCCGAGAGACTTTAGGAGCAGAACAGTGTTCGCGAGATTGGTGCGCTGGATTTCTGGGATGGTATTCGGGAACATTTCATTGCGAAACGCCATTTCTGTATACAAACGGTAGCAGAACCTATAAAAAATTGAGGATAATTGATATCGTGCGGTGAAAATGAAGACATACCCGCTGCCTGTACGGCCGGCACGGCCAGTCCGCTGATTAGCGTTGGCTTGGCTGACCGGTGTGATCTGCAGGGCATCCATGCCGACCTTCGGGTTATACACCTTAAGCTTTGAGTAGCCTGCATCGACCACGTAGATAATGCCATCGACCGTCAATGAAGTCTCGGCGATGTTAGTGGCTACGATGACCTTCCTTCGTCCGTCAGGGGTGGCTTCGAAAATCTTGGCCTGAAGGTCGGCAGGCATCTGCGAATAGATTGGAAGCACCGCCAGAGGGGCGGGCTGGTCAAGCTGTGACAGACGTTCTATATAAAATCTTAAAAAAGGGCGTCGTGTGAATTTGGTGCTTGGTACATACCGTTAACAACCTGACAAGTGATTTCAATGTCTTCTTGTCCAGTCATAAATACGAGGATATCACCGGGAGGGAGCGAAAGATGGATTTGGAGAACCTGTTTCACGGCGCTGTCGACATAGTCCTCACATGGTGATTTTGAATGGAACATCTCCACCGGGAATGTACGACCAGGAATGGTATAACAAGGCGCGTTGCCATAGAACGCAGAAAACTGACATCATATCAGTCTTCCATTGCTAGAACAGTCACGAGGGCTACTTGCCTTGTCAGCATTCATAGTTGCCGATGTAACGATGAGCCTCAAATCTCTTCTCCGAGACAGAACTATAACAAATGGTGAGGTAAAATAATATCGAACAGGGAACGATAAGGCGTACTCTTTCGAAGCAAACCCATGAGAACATCAGTGCTTAGCGAACGCTCATGGGCCTCGTCGAGGATGATTACACTGTATCGGTCCAAATCGCCTTCGTTCAAAGATTCTCGCTGGAGGACACCGTCCGTCATATCTGACAATGAACAAATCATGATGAGCCAGGTTAGACACAAGAGCGATAACCCGTACATTTGATCTTCGTTTCCGCTGAGGTACAGTCCTCGAAACGGATCGCATAACCAACGGTAGAGCCAAGCTTGCACTGGACAAAAGGTCAACACCAGAATGAAGGAATCAATTTCTGACTCGACCTGCCTCCATCTCCTCAGCGACACGCTTTGCTACGGACATGGCGGCCACACGACGCGGCTGAGTGCAGCCAATGAGACCATACGCGCAGTATCCGTCCTCAGTAAAGGAACTGCGCCAGCTGAGTGGTTTTCCCAGAACCAGTCTCGCCGACAACGATAACGACTGTGAAACTCAGACGTTAGAAAGACACAGCTGCATAGCATACATACTGACCCTGATTTTCTCGGATAACCTTGAGAAGCTCCTCTCGACATGCAAATGCAGGTAAATACTCTCTCTGCTCCTTCAGTGTCCTGTTCTTCGCAAATGAACTAACCCCAGTGGAGGCCTTCAGGTGGCTGGCAAACTTGGAATCACCCTTGTAGTCCTCTTTCTCGCCAGAATTTGCCTTCGCTTCTGCCAAAGCTGCAATACCATAAAACCTACGTGAATGTCCAATCCGAGCTGCGCCACGAGGGCGGAGAAGAAATACGCACCATCGGCTTCAGCCTCCTCGTCCTTCACGCCCATAATGTTACCAAGCTGTGTGCCGCCAAGCGATGCAAGTTTCGCAGCCGCCTTTGCCCTCTCCGCCTGCTCTCGCTTCTCTTTTACGAGAGCGCTCCCCTTCTTTGAGAATATCGCCATGTCACTCGTAGGGTCACGGATCGGATTAATAGGCTCGAGTTGCTTGGTGAATATGGTCTTGCCATCTAAGAAAGGTGGTTTAATATCATGCACCATGACATGCACCGTCGACTCGGATTCGTCTTCGAAATCAAGATCGACTTCCTTCCGAGTCGCAACACCAGATGTCAGCATCCGATTGGCTTCCCAGAGGTCGTTGTCTGCATTCTATGGAAAACGTTAACGATCGAGTGAAGACACAGAATCGAGTCTCACATATTGCGCCTGCCTGGCTGATATTCTCTTCTACACGAAGCGTCAGTGAAATTGATCTGTTTACAGGTGCGAAAAACTGCATACCACCTGTTTCTTGGCGATTTCCGCATCCTTCAGTGCACTGAGATCCTCGTATTGTGCTAAAGGGTTGTGTTCTTCATCTCCAGCGACACCACCTTCCTCCGCTCCAGTATACCAATCCCGATCCAGCCGCAGCTGTTCCTCCTCCCATTCCCTAACGTCGACACCAAGGAGTCCATCATCCTCTGGACTGCCGCCTCTTGGAACGCGGGGGGTCGGTGCATCCCAAGCACGATTCCTTGCCCCTCCCCAACCGGATCCTTCGCCCTCTCGTCGTCTCGGCGTTGAATCCCATCCAACATTGGGCACACGGACACTGGGCGCATCATGGGTGCTACTGCCGCGCTCAGAGCGTGGTGTAGAATCCCAGCCGCGTCCACGATGTCGATCCCTGTCCTGCCGATTTGACCGTCGTTGGAAATCTCCGAGTCCTCTGGAAGCGTGAGACCGTTGCTCCTGCACTGCAGTAATACCCTCTAGAATGTGACCTCGGGTCAGAACAACAAGCCACAGCGGAATATAATAAACACACCTCTCTGTTTCTCACGGTTTCGTCTATGTTCCTCCAAGCGTGCTCGTGCGGTATCGGACAGACCGCCCGGGTGAGACGGTGTCTCTTCGCCTCGTTGCCTTAAGTTGTTTCCTCGTCCAAGTGGCAAACTGGGGACTGAATACAGTGTAAGAGGAAATTACAAAGCTGAGATCCTGTTGTACCTTTGAAGACAGCATCGTCTGCCAGCCTCGGCTTCTTTCGAGGGCCGTTTTCAGATATGGCCTGTTCTCGCTTCTCCCTCGCGAGTCGATCGAGGCCAAGCAAAGAGCCTCGAGGAGTTGGTGGTTCAATTGGCTTCGCAGGCTGTCGGAAAGTATGTCTCTGTAGATCATAAGTAATTATGCTGGAACAATGAGAGTGCCGAGGAACGCACGGTATCATTCCTCATCAGGCCCCCTTGCCGGATTGGATCAGGCTCGAGCACCTCGCTGTCGTAGACTGTTATGCCCTCAACGGGATGAGGAGCAAACCCGGAAGCCTCCTGCTTGAGGTGTGACAATATTTCGTCATGGAGTTCTGTCAAAAAGGAATCTTGAAACTTGCCAAACGCCCGAGCCGCTGTAGCAAAGTTATCAATCAACACAGCTGAGTTGCGGTATAAGAAACTCACCTTTAGCAAATCCTTCTGCGGAGTTGGTTTTCGCTATGTCGATAACACGCTCTGCAAGTAAGTCATTCGGATTGACGATGTTCAACGCTCGTGAAAGTTTGATTGCTACTTGGTGCTTGAAACCAGTGTCTTCATTCGGGGACATAGTTCCACACTGCTAGTCGCCTACGTCGAATGTTCGGAGAGGCCAATACGCGCGAAGCTTTAGTAATAGTGCTTTAGGACTCAATTCCAAGCCTAAGGTCTAGCGGTCGGACGAAGAGGATACAGATGTTACGTCAGCACGAACTAGTACTTACTTGGAGTCTTCGACTTCAAGTTGAAGCTTGCTGTAAAGATCGTTCTAAGTAACTTCTGGCATCATTCAAAGCAGCACTCGAGCTCGAGCAGTCAATATTGAATGTAAGTATGTTCTTTCGCTCTCTCTACAGAGTCTGATAACGGATCGCTCTAAGATGTAAAATTGTAACTGGCGTCACGAGATAATTGTACATTTTTAAACCCGGACCAGTTCTCCATGGCACACGCGAACATAAAGGTTCCTATGGTACTTGCATCCATTTGAAGCATCCATTCACAGACAACGCATGCGTCGTTCTCGCACTTGGGACAACTTTCGTTGTCTCCGAAGTGCCGACTTCTCCCAACCCGGAGATATCTGTCATGACGCTCTCTCTGCCTCATGGTATACTTCACGTGGACTCATCACGAGCTCAGAATTATCTCCCCACCGCTGGGAGTCACTAGTAAGCTTAAATACAGAGATGGGGGAGCGTATCGTCCTCTCGCCCTCCCCGGATATACATCGCGAGTCAGACGACCTTTCAGCATGAAGCTCAACATTATCGGCGGTGGTCTCACTCTTGCTTCGATGGCCGGATATGCTCTGGGTGCAGTCTATACTCTCAACGAGAAAATTGTTGGCGAAGGTTTCTACAGTTCCTTCAACTTCGAGGCTATCCCCGACCCCACTAATGGGCGTGTGTATGTTCATTGTCTACCCAGCATGCAATTTGTTTTGTTACTTATTGAAGCTCAGGACATATGTGGACCAAGCAACGGCACAGATGCTCAACTTGACTTATGCCACGGGAGACACCTTCATCATGCGCGCAGATGACACTACGGTTTTGACCCCCAGCGGCCCGGGCCGGAATTCTGTTAGGATTCGGTCCAACAGTCAGTACACACAGCACGTCGTCAGTGTAAGTAATTCGTCGTGTCTATTTCACCGACTGATGGTTTTCGAGGATAGCTTTGACATGCAGCACATGCCCGAAGGATGCGGGTGAGCCTCTTTTTTATTCATCTGACGAGTTCTATTACTCACTTATCTTAACACAGGACGTGGCCTGTAAGTAGATGGCAGCAACGGCGTGAGCTTATAATAACAGATAACAGGCGGTCTGGGAAACTAATGAATCCAATTGGCCTTTCGGCGTTTGTTTTATTTCCTTCCTTGTGATAGCTCTACCTCTGACTTAGATCTGTTCGCCAGGGTGAAGTCGATATTGTCGAGGGTGTGAACGATGTGGAGCCTAACCAGTCAACGCTCCACACTAGCCCTAGTTCGTTCACCATAATCTTCATAGCTGGGCTATTTTCAATTCCTGTTATCGCGCAGATTGCACCATGCCAGCTTCTATTACACAGTTAGGGTATGTTTGATCATCATTACACAAAATCGTCTTGCTAAAGCTTTAATTGATTCATTAGAACCCCAGTCTTAACCGACTGTGACACTGCAGGTGAGGCTGCCAAGGTTCATTCCAATCTCGTGCTAAAATGCAACAGCCAATGGAAATGCAGGGTGTGGCGTGCAGCTCACTGAAGACTACAACAGTTTTGGTCCAGGATTCAACAGCATAGATGGAGGATGGTGCACTACTACAAACCATGTTTTCAATACTGTTGCGGCTTACAGGTTCTCCCGTAGGTATGCCATGGAGCGCACAAATGACTATATCAAGGTTTGGTTCTGGGAAAGACACGACATATTTGCTCCCTTCGACGCTACTACCGGTGCATGGATCATCGACACCAGTCTCTGGGTAATATTCCTTTCACCTCTATTAGATTAGGTACTTACATATGGTTCGACTGCCAGGGAACTCCTGCCGCCAATTTCCCTAACACCGACTGTGACCTTGCGTCTCATTTTGATGCCAACAACATTATCATCAACTTGACGTTCTGTGAGTTTTGCCTTGTTTCATGACGATCTGCCATACTTATGAGTCACGCAGGCGGCGACTGGGCAGGCAATTCGGCCGTATACTCTGCTTCTGGATGTCCATCGGACTGCGTGAGTTATGTCGACAGTAAGTGTTCACCCGCCCACGTCCAGTACAACCGTGAACTCCTTATCACCATCCGCAGACAATCCTACCGCGTTTACAAATGCTTACTTCGAGTTCTCGTCCATCAACGTCTACACGTAGATCGAGTCGTAGGAAATGGTGTAAATTAGCTTCACACAGGTAGTGTCTATCTTGTTTTGCAACTTGGACTTCATCGGTGTCACCTTCAAAATTGAACTTGAGGAGGCTATCTCACGTAAGTAACCACATCGTAGGCATGCGTTCATGGCGCTGTCAGCTCCTTCCACTCAGACTTCAAAGCTTCAAAGCTTCAAGTTGGACCTCTATGAAACACGCCGTTAGCTGGGCCGGCGTTCATCCCAGTTGACAAGGCTCGACTGATCGTGTATAAAAAATTGACTCGAGTCTTCACCGGCACCGCCGGCACGTGTCCTCATATGTATGTACCTATCTGCTTTGGGCATTCTGCCGCTCGAGCGCGGTTTCTGCAACGGATGAGCTCGATGAGATTTCTCATTCCAACCTCGTGCTAAAATGCAATAGCCAATATTGGAAATGCAGGGTGTGGCATGCAGCTCACTGAAGACTTACAACAGGTTTGTCAACGGCGTCAATGGAGAATGGTGCGTTACTGCAAACCGTGTTTTCAATACTGTTGCGGCTTACAGGTTCTTCTATTGATATGCTATGGAGCGCACTAATGACTATATCAATGTTTGGTTCTGGGAGGGAGATGATGAATCTGCTCCCTTCAACGCTACCATTGAAACACATCTAAGCCACCCGTAACCTTAGGTCTGGACTCTTCGTCGTCGGTCGTGATCGGTTCCTTTACCACTCAATGAAGACAACCGTCACAGTGTACCTCATCTTCCGGCAACAGTAGCTAGCGCACGTTAAGAAGACCTACCATGCCAGTGAGTCGTGTGGTTAAATACAGGGCGCAAATTACTCATACTCACGCATTTAAGTAGGACTAGTAACCTCACCTTCCGGCAACACTAACTAACGCATGTAAAGAAGACCTACCACACCAGTGTGTCATGTGGTTCAATACAGGACGCAAACTACTCATACTCACACATCTAGGACCATCGCAGTGTCTGCAGTGTCTACTACGAAAGCAACCGCAAGAACAATTTTCACTGTCAGGGTCGCTGGCAGGTATTGATGCCGTAGATATTGATGCTGTCAAAGCAGCAACTTGAACAACGGCCAGGACAAATGGCAAACACATTGTTTGTGAAGATGTGATATGGGATCAAAAAAAATCTGAAGGGGACAGTAGGAAGACGGCTTGCTTTTATGTGCTGAATAATATTGTTATTCATGGCGATGTACGTAGGAAGAACGATATATATATATCCACCCTCTCGAACAGATGATATCTGCAATATTGGCTAGCAGATTCAATAAATATTGCCACCTGTCCGACCATATCAATTTGGTGTGGAACAAAATGTCACCTTGCAAAGCAAGGTCAATATTAATGCCAGCTCGAATCCACTCGGGAACAAACCAAAATTTCCTTTCATAGCTTTTTCATGACGCCTGGATTTTCAGCTATGTACAGCTCAAGCATCGACTTGCAACTCAACATCACAAAAATTGCTCGACTCAACCCATGACGGTTAGATCATCGAGTTTGATTGGCTAAAGAGCATGACACATCACTAGGGCTTCAAGTTGGCATTAGCCAGAGTCACTGGATTTACGCCAGTGACAAGTGTCAACGGTAAGCACGGCTATGGCCTCACCACCCAAACCTTGGGAACGGGGCGCAGCAGCCCTAGCGGCGACCATCCCTGCCACCCATAATCAGCTACGACAAGCTCCTCTTCATCAGAACCTCCTTCAGTACCTGCACGTCCCCCAGCGTTCTCCAACCCATCCCCATCTATCATATCACCCTACAATTCTTTGCAGTCATCCTACAATACCCCACATTCGCCGTATTCACGATTTGGGTCATCCTACTCTTCCCCATATGGCACAAGTATGTACGGTGGTTATGGCGAAATGGGCAGCGCTTATGGTACTGAGTACGCTGGATATGGCATGAATAGCATGTACCATGGCGGCATGCCCGGAATGGGCGGAATGGCCCATGGGCAGCATGAGCATGTATCGTGGTATGGATCCCAACAATCCCTCCCTTACACAAACCCTCGAAGCCCTGAAGAAGACAAGTAGGTGGTCTGAGTGTATGAGACTCGCTTTTCATCCAGTCACTATTTTACTTTTTCGATTTCGATTGTTGCTTTTTGATTGACTGTGTCCCAGATACGCAGACACGGGACGTACATCACCCTTATTAACTATGGAGAGCTCCCATGGCTGAACGCTCTGCGGTATCCAATCCCGTAACTAGCGCGCGGCAGGTGCACAATTCTGTGAGTCATTGCTTCAACACACAAGCCAGAGATATTCATCGCCCTCAATATTCTTCTGAAACGGTCAGTTCATCTCTTGGTGACCTAGAGGTAGCCTGATTTTGTCCAGATATTCGTCTGGCATTCCCACCGATCTGCCACCACTTTGGTCCCCCCAGATCAGACCATACGCATCGACGACAGCCGTTTGCTTACTGTCCCATGCATTATTAACAATATCCTTGCGGTGTTACTCGATCAATCTCCGACCGCTACTTTCATGAAGTTGAGCATCTTCTGAGTTGGTAATATTAATAAATGTCGGTGATATATTGTTGTTGTCCGTATGTAGCTTGAGGACCCCTGAAAAATTTAAACTGTAGTTTCCCCCAGGCAGACCAATAGAAGCTTGAAGACAGTTCCTACGTCCCTTTGGGAAGGAAAGATCAATTGTGATATTCAGAATCGAATGTACATAACCGCCTTGCTAAAGTCTAATCGATGCTTCTAGTACCGAGTATATACAACGCGAACTCGTCCGCAGACAACCCTACGGTGTCTACAAACGCCTAGTTCGAGTTCTCGTCTGCACATAGATGGAGGAATAGCTGTAAAAAAAAATGGAACTTCACCTTGGAACAACTTGAGGAGGCTATCCCGCGTAGGTAGCTACGTCTTAGACATGCGTTCACAGTGCTGTCAGTTCCTTTCACTCAGACTTCAAGTTGGACCTCCACGAAACATCCCTTAGGTGACCCAGCCTTCATCTCAGTTGACAATTTGCGTTATCTGGCTCGACTGGTCTTGTATAAGAGTAATGGCTAAACAAATGATGCTAAAGAATTGATCAAATATGAATTCGTTATGTGGGAGCAGCGGGGATCAGTTAGATCAGTGAGTTATCAAGTACTTATTGCTTCCATAGTAATCACCGAAGGACCCTGTCGAGTCTTCACACATACCGCTTCTTCCCCCTGAAATCTCCATACCTATCTGCTTTAGGCATCCTGCCGAACTTCGGCTCCACAGTTTCTGCAACGGCATGAGCTTGATTTGCGAAGGGACTTTCCACCAACTTACTAAGTATGTCCTTGTAAACCGCGGGAACTCCTTCGCTCCAAACCTCTCGCCACATATGGGCACCTCCACCAACGTTCCTGTCTAGCCCATGCTGCTCCATGAACGCTCTTACATCAAAGCCTGCACGTTTGTCCTTCGCGACCATAGGAATTGATAGACGGGACTGTTGGGGGAGGAGTAGAATGGTATAGCGGTGATAGGTAGTCCCACGTTGCGGGTGCGGTGGTATGTAGGCAGTGTGAGTGTTCAGGTTTGGCACTGGGGAAGGCGAAAGGCTCGAAAGAGGGGATATTCGGTCTGCATAGAAGTCAGTCGACGAATTGAAGGGAAGAGCCTATCGCTCACTGAAGCCAATGCAGATACGTCTGGAATGTTTGGTTGGTCTCGTCAGGAAAATCTGTTACTGGCGTCAGTGCCGTTCACTTGGGGCTCAACACCAACTGACCCGGATCGATCATCAGAAGAGTATAAAGTCGCTCTTCTGGATGAAAGACAGTTGTAAATATCTTAGGAGGCTCTACAGTCTGAGATATGATATCATTAGCAGAATAAAACAAGGAGATGACTGCACCGCACACCTGTTCTGGAAGAAGAAAGACTCCCGGTTCTACGTTCTCGTACACGACTTTTGAAACTGTAACCTGAAGCCCTGTATTCGACTTCACTTTTGGGAAGGTGACCCGAAGGTCCAATGAGGGATGAATATCGGGCAAGACGTCTGGCACGACTTGCATCTGGTGGATACGTTCCATCTACACAACAAAAGATTGAGAACCATGACCGAAGAATTCGATGCATACTTACCAGCAAGTCTAATGCACCCTCCTTTCTCCACCGCTGCTCCACCAGGTGCCTATCGACGGCTTTGGACATGTCCGCTGGAGAACTGTGAACATAATGCAACGTCCAGTCATGAACGTGCTTACCCATTCCATTGGCACATTTCCACCTCACTTGGGGGAAATTTATCTCGCTCTGCACCTCTAAAATTCTCAGCTTCTCTTCCAGCGCCTGCAACGCATACTGGTCAGGCTGGGAAATCTCCTTTGCACGCGCAATGGCTTCCTCCAAAGACTTTACATCCTCCTTGAGTGTCATTGAATCCTCTTTAATGACCTTCAGTGCTTCGTCGAAAGCAGGAAGAACACCGAATGCAAGAGGCCTATTCCATTCGCGCGGATGCTGCAGCGAAATTCTAGGCCGACGTGTTCTAATTGTCCGAGACTGCTTCTTCTGCGGTGTCACGGGTACTTCGGACGACTGGGACTGCGAGCTGTCAGTGTCTGCAGCTGTCGACACGAAAGCTACTTGTACTGTTGCACTTTGTCGCGCGAAACCAAAGGCTCGAGGTGGGAGGCGGCGTAGGGCCAGCATTCGGACGTAGATACACGGCCTACTTGAACAGAGAGGAAGACTGCAGTGAACTTTGACTGAACGAAATTTCTCTTGAAACACAAATTCCAGAAAAGGAAGTTCCTTCAAAGCGTTGGCTCATCACGGCAATCAGGGGCTACGATAAATCGAATGCATAGCAAAAGCGTATACAATCGTATGTATAGTATATCAATCAAGCAATGGTATCGTAGATGCAGTGAGATATAGGAGCACAATATATGATAAATAACTGCAAGGACAACAGGTCGATTAGCATGGAGAAACATGAACCATAATATTACGTATAAACAAAATCAGTCAAGAGTAGGAAGCAGATATGCACGACGAAGAAATACAACAGCTTAAGCGATATATACAAACAACAAAAAAAAACCAGAAAACGAAGCGAAAACCTAGAAAGTGGGGGAACACAGTACAGTGCGGGAAAGAGTAGACGCGACTCGGTCCTGCCGGAATCGATATTGAAACTCTACAATTTGACTCAGTATGGAGCAGCGGAATCAAAGAATTGACAAACCTCCATCCCGTACAACGGGATTCTGATAGCGACGACGTTCTTCTTGTTCCTCTCGTTCCATTTCAATTTCATACGGTGCCTTGTACCCAGGTATCCGAACACCAATCTTGGGAGGTGAATGCTTGGGTTGCCAGCGACCGCCGCCTGTTGCCTTACAAATGATACTGGATCTCCGTAGCGGGTATGCATCGAGTTCGCCATATGATGGTTCTGGGAGCTCGAGCTCAGTAGGAGATACGATGGAAGTGGGTAATGGGAGATGTCCAGTGCTGAGATGATATGAACTCCAAGCAACGCGAATGGGTCGAGAGGGGTGCGCTGGGCTGTCCACAGGAGATGCACAAACAGACGAATTAGGAGAAGGAGCCCTAGAATCTACCGGAGACTTGACAAGCATAGGAGTGGATGGTCTGGCGTCTGGAGTGCGAGGCGAATTGCAACCGTAAATCTGATCCCAACAATCGTCGCAGACCTTTTCTACAACGACTGGTGACGTTGGGCTATCATAATTTGAGATAGGCACGTTCCGCGGAGGATGAAGAAAATCGAGATTGGAAACGTCAAGCAAATGGGTTGTTCGAGTAGTACATTGATGGCAAAAAACGCCACCGCACTTTCTACAGTGCTGTTATGTACAATTAACCTTCTGAACTCATTAAGATGTAAAATTTGAGCTCACATGACGCCGTTCAAGGACCGAGAACTTGACGTGACAATAAAAATTATCACACGTGGTAGCGAGAGAATCAGGCTGAGTGTGGTAAATGTCAGTATACTGAACAACGGAGTATGTCACTGTCGGACCGCACCTTCCAGAGGCTCCTTGGCAATAGGACTGCCAGATGTTCGTTAGTTCGTGGGGGTAAGGCGAGATAGAGACGGGATTCAGATATTGAACCACTCTGTGAAGAGCCTTGATAAAAGCTGTCAGAAAATACAGCACGTATGACATCTCCCGAAATACAGTAATACCTTCTACTAGAGAAGACGCGTCAGAGGAGCACTCTGACTCATTGGAATTTGAGGAGCTAGCGTAGGCCAATGTAGAATGGGCCTTGGCAGCAAGATTAGCGAGTACAACTTGAAGGACGGACATGGGAGAAGAAGGTGAAGAAATGTATGTAGACGCAACGCCGACCGAGTTCATCTTCTCCGTCGCGACAAGTTATATCGAATCCCATCATTGTCGTGGGAATACCTGGGAGACCGTAACTACTACAACGGCGCTATTCGAACCTTGAAATTGGACTTTTCTAGTAGATCGTCCATTAGCCGACCCTTGCAACCTTGGCTCGACCCGCTCGACGGGCTTCAGCGGGCTTCTTGTCATTGGAGGATCAGCGGAAACGAGCAAACTCAAATCGATTGTATGACGTGAATGCCGCGGAGTCTCCTTCAAAATTTTGATCAATCCTGGGAACCAAACCTTCGATTGTGCTCAAGAGCTGCCTAGAGCTGCACTGTTGGATAAGTTTTGTTTCTTTGGGCCGGCGTTTTCCAGCCACTCTTCCCAGCCCAATCATTTATGACAAGGTGTGTAATGCACCGAAGGGCCACTCCCCTGGGCCGAATAATTGTACCTTTATCCACGAAAAAAAAAAGACTGACCGTGCTAACGACGAGTGATAATAAATTATACAAATTGCAAAGTGAGTGACTAAACATGTAAGCCAAGTCTGATGACTGTTCATACATAAAGTATCATTTGTTTCAAATAAACACGGTGGGTGTGACAAGTAGGGTAAAACTCAAAAGCAGCTTAAGTTAAAAAGCAGTATCTCACGAAAGGCCAAGCAAATCATTAGCTACGGCGTCCTCCTCTCGCGCTGTCAATATGTACGTCCAGAAACCGTCCGCTGCCTGGTGGTCCACGTCGCAAATTCTTCGCAGCTAGTGGAGATTCTGCGAGACGCCCGACAGGGGTGAAATTATGACCAACTGGTGTGATGTCATGAATTACAGGGCCAGAGTTGAGATGGGTAATCGGAAGATGCGAATCATCTTCTGCACCTCCCGCGGGATGATGACCAAAACGACGGCTAGACATTCCCTCACCAGGTCTAGTGGGTGTGTTGAATAGCTCAGAACCGCGTCCCTGCCAAAAATTATTCTTTGGTGTTGCAAATGGAGCACCAAATCTGATGCCGCGTGAAGGGGTGGATGTGGGATCAAATGGAGATTCGTCAGCCATAACCGGCTCAGCACAACCAGGTGTCGCTGTGCACACACGAACACTTCGAGAGGAGTGTTGTGGTGTCTGTGGACCAGGCTGGGAAGACGATTCATCCCAAGACGAACCAGAGGAAAAATAAGGGCCTGCCCTACGACCAGGTGGGGTCATGGGTGGACGTGAAGAGCTGCTCCATGGGGCCGCTGGCGAAGGATTAAGGCCCGCGTGAAAGAAGGGTGGATCGTAGCTCTTGTCATGCCTCAGCTTCTCTTCAGTTGGCACGAAGGTCGGCTCAGATGATGGCAGGATATCTGGAGGGGGTGTTTTGGCGCAACTGCCACAAAACCAAGGATCTTCCTCCCTGCCCAGTTCTGCAATACTTCGAATGCCAATACATTGTAGGTGGTACCAAGTATGGCATCCATCGCATTGGACCAGCTCTCGGCCATCATCACTGCCTCGACAAATACAAACAGTTTCATCGTCTATGTCATCGTTGGTGGATTTATGTGGTGTTCGTCGAAACGAGAAGCGTCTAATTGATCGCTTCGATAGCAATGCAGTTCTGGCATCAGCTGGGTCGCTCGGAATAATGGATATCGTGGCTGGACCACGCTCTCGATTCTGTGAGTGAGCGAGAAGAGGGTACATTTTGCCCCTGCCGGTACCGAACCCAGGACGCACTATTTGATTCTGAAACAAATTCTCTTCATGGTCTTCATCATCCGAATCCCGGCTAAGGAAGTTTTCGATGTACCGCAAGCGTTGTTCTTCCTCCATTTTAGAATAATCGTCGCACTGCTCTGTGCGCAAGCGCCACGGAAATTGGGCATCCGGCCAGTTTGGAAGATCACCAGTGGCTTCCGATTGCAAAGGGAAGGTACTCTCGTCATGTAACTCGTCCATCGAAGGCGTCTTTTTCTTTTTCCGAGAACGCTTCTTCTTCGATGGGCTAAGTTTATTCGGACTTGGCGGATCAGATGGTCCGATGTTCATCAAAACTCTGCCACGGCCCTCCACCTCAACTGGAGTTAACTGTGACCACGAGGAAGACAATTGCGAGGAACTCCGGAATGCAGACAATCTGTTCTTTTGGCGGAGCTCCTGCTCATTGACCAAAGGAAGGGGTTCTGGGTCTCCAGAATGATCAGGGTCCCCAGGATCCGCAGGTTGCTGCAAGTCGGTTCGCTGAATGATGAAGTAGTGACAGGGTCAGCATGCTCATCGAGGTCAGCTGTAACCGGTACATACATAGCGATCGTACCCTCCTGCCATCAGACTTTCTTCAAAGCTTTCGTCCGAGGTTTCCTGAAATAACATCAACCGCCGGCCTTTGATAGGACTCTCCGTTACTCCGATCGCTGCGGCGACCCGCTGTTCTTCTTTGCCATCTACATCAAGAGGGGGTGGTGACTCTATGCGCTTGGCACGCTTGAGGTAATCAGGTCTCCGAGCCTCGGCTTCTCGCGTGAGGGTGATCTGATTCTCTAACAGCTGTGCACGGATCCGAGCCATTTCCCCTCCGACCTCTTCGCTAAGTTCCTGTGATGCGGGAAGCGGTGAAAAGATGCTGTTAGACGGAGGTAGGAAGTCGGTAGATGAAGCTTGGGATGCTGGACGCTTTCTGTTTGGGGTGGTATTCTTGACCTCTACTGGTTGGTGTGTAGTAAGACTGAATGCGTTATCTTGCGCAAGAGACATCCGAGGACGGAGAGAATGTTCTGGAGTGGAACTGTGATAGTGTTTAGTACTACCAAGTAGTCGATATTTGTGAATAGACCAACCTTGTGGGCGGCGTTCTTCTTGTAATCCGAGGGGGCGAGTGACTGATTGGATTCAGCAACATTCAGGATGATATACTCATAAGGTATATACCTTCTCTTATCGTTCTTCCCGTGGGGTCCGTTTGCCCGAGAGCGAATAACAAGTGGGCTGAAACTAAGCAGTGACCTTACACGTAAGACGAAATCAACGCATACCTGGAATCAGGTGTGATCATTTTATGGGGCCTGAATGTTGGGGAAGGAGCCGAAGGATACCTACATCGGATATCCAGTTCACATTGCATTGAACCAAATAGTCATACTCACGAAGTAGATCTAAAATCTGTTGGCAGAACGTCCTCCAACAAGCTGTACGACATAATTATTACTCTCGATTTGTTCACTTTAAAATGTTAAATGATATCCTCACATTTGACCTTTGGGAGTAGTGTTGCGCGAACTCGACTGCCCATATGCGCCAAGATTACCAGGACTGTAATAGCAAAGTTAGCGTCTTCGCATGGACAAGTGTATCAGGTGTCGTCGAGCGAGTGAAGATGTAAATCGCTCTTTGACAGTGAACAGATAGATACACGGACACACTCACCTCTGCGGCGTAGGAAGATATACACCTTGACTTGAAAAGGGAGGTAGCAAGCCATTTATAGGCCTTATTGGACTATTCAGTATCTCAAATCACGTATCCGGCGCAGACTCGTAGCATGTACGCACCTAACGTCACCTGGTGGCGCACGCCCCCTCTCCGTGTGTTCGTTCGTTGAACCAGGGGCTTGATGATATGCGAATTGCGAGAGCCACATTGTATCTGTCATATCCGGTGTCTTCGGCACGTTAGGCTGGGGCATACTTCCTGTCATAGGAGTTGCAGCCCCATTACTCGTTTTTGCGGGATTATCAGACACGGTCATGGTAATCTGGCTGCCGCCTCGAGGATGTACCGACAATCGAAGACAAAATGGCGCTTGAAAGATTGTCGGAGTATTAAGTTTCAGCAGGCTCTCCCCTCTTGCCTCGACCAGCCCGTCGTAAATGGATGAAGAGAAATTGCGGGTGAACTTACAGACAAATGAGTCCATGGTCTAATTAGCTTGCAACCTGGACGATTACATAACCGAAGGTTTGATCCATCCGCCATCAGATCCTCACTTGACTCTTCTATTTAGTCTGCGATCTAAAGTCTAGACTACAGAACTCGGCCATGCTCGTGCGAGCCATTGAATTTTATAGTGGCATAGGTGCTTTGATATTGATGTGGTTAAGCTTTTTTAAACTCATTTCTTAGGTGGCCTGCATCTTGCACTTCGCCAAAGCCGTGTGGCGAGTTCCCCTGTGAAAGCGTTCGACTGGGATCAAACTGCATGTCAGGTATATGCAGCTAACTATGGTGCACAAACAATATCCAGGGTATGTCGAGTCTTGATATCTTGAATCTCTTACATTGACCTGCGAGAGGTCTCGTATTTTCATAGACAGACATATCAACCCTTTCCGCGGTAGATCTACTATGTCTGCATGCTGACGTCTGGCTACTATCCCCGTCTTGCCAACCTTATACCGTCTTGAATCCTTCTGCAAGAGGAGAGGATGATCCTAGAGCGAAGTCGTTTCTTCATTTAATCGACCATGTGTTGCCGGACTTGGCTGCCCAGGATTCGCAACCTCGCTATATGCTCATCGAGAACGTAGCGGGCTTCCAGGTCCGTCGACTTTTTCCACGGCGTACACTGCCTAATCCTGACGCATCATCGGCAAGGACTCAACCACAAGGAGGCGTCTAGTTGATACCCTCCAACGTCTTGGCTATGTTGTTGCTGAATTTCTTCTGACTCCTACACAGTTCGGCATCCCAAATTCGCGGCTGAGATACTATCTTCTTGCTAAATTATCCCCCCTCCGGTTCACTGGCCTTCATGAATCTGACTTCGATCGAGTTCACGACAAGCTACCAGGAACTGCATCCAACATCCCTGTACACTTGGTACGTGAATATTTAGACCATGCACGTGAGGAAGAAAGCCCTCTGCGTTACAACATTCCCGATCGTGTACTTGAAAAGTGGGGTCGTTTGTTCGATATCGTATTGCTATCTGGTCGGCGGACCTGTTGTTTCACGAGGGGTTCGTTTACTCTAGGACTGCTATTTCATCTACCAATTGCGTCGCAGGTTATACACAACTTGTCGAGCGTGCAGGTTCCATACTTCAGGTGAACGAGGACCTCGACGTAGGTGCAAATTTCACATTTCAATTCCGGGCTGAACCGAGCCAAGACCACCGAGGTCTTCGACAACTTTCTTGAAGCTCGATCGCGGGGAGATAAAGAGGCTGTTCGCATCCTAGATCAGCTACAGCTTCGGTATTTTACTCCTAGCGAACTCTTGAAGATCTTTCGATTCGAGGAACCAGAGTCCAATCAACAGTTTATATGGCCACCCGACATATCTCTAAAATCAAAGTACCGGCTCATTGGCAATAGCGTCAATGTGGAGGTGAGTGGCGTTCGTTGATATTCAGAAACTTTTGGCAATTCTCTATGTATAGGTCGTGCGGCACCTGATTGATTATCTCTTTGATGGTGAAGAATTAACGAGGTGATTCCGATCATCTCTCAAGTGCTCCACTTGCTTGATACGGCGGTATGGACTTTGAATTGTAGTTGTTATAGCGGCAATGCGTGCTTAATAAACAGAGATGTGGGATCACGCATCGACGTGGCGTGCCGTCACTGCACAACTCAAGTACTTGCATATCTGTCTTACTAAGCTATAGATATCAAGTGCAATGCAATTTATTCAAGTGTCTTCGTCGAAGTGTGCCGAAGTGACCGGTTTCGGCTTATAAATTACCGGTCTGGTCTTATATATTTGGTTCCATGGCACCCATCCGAACTACGTAGCAGTGTGACACGTCCCACATCCTTCATTCAGATCTAACGTGCAGCGCCGTCCGACATGCCTCAGAACAAGTTCCAGAGGACTTTCATCATCGGGTGTGGATGCACTGCATTTATAAAGGTGAATGATTCAACCTTGTCAGCCCTGCTTGCGGCATTCGATTGATTCGTCACGCAGCCCAGAGCCACAAGGACAACGGAGGATGTAAGCTATATCAGTACAAGAAATAAAGTGTCTCTGAATTCATTTGCGTATAGATGGGACTTGAAGCAGGCACAAAGGCGCTGCTTGATGCTGGTGAGTATGCGCATGAAGAGACACTTTGTCCAGCTGAACCACAATTCGAACTTCCTAGGTATCACATATGATGCTGTGCAAACTGCATTTGTGGGTTACTGCTATGGCGATTCCACCAGCGGTCAGGTATGGTGTCTCTCGATTCAGTTTCATGGTGCTAATTTGTGCAGCGAGCTCTGTACGGCCTGGGAATGACCGGGATCCCCATCACCAACGTGAATAATAATTGCTCGACCGGGAGTACTGCCCTATTCAATGCAAACAACGCAGTGAAGTCAGGCCTGGTCGACTGTGCTCTTGCATTGGGCTTTGAGCGCATGAAGCCGGGTAGTCTCGGGTCCAACTTCCCCGATAGGCCGCCACCAACTCTATTATTTAACAAGCGGACTGTCGAGCTCGAAAAGACCCTAAGCACCGGAACAAATTCTGGTCCAGGTGCTCTCCGAATGTTTGGTAACGCAGGGCAAGAATATATGGACAAATACGGTGCCGAAATCAAACACTTGGCCATGATAGGTATCTCGCGGCGCTCATGTTAAAAATGCATATTCAACGTATTCTAGCCGCAAAGAATCACGCACACTCCGTCAAGAACCCATATTCACAGTTCCGTGACGGATGGACGGTCGAACAAGTCCTACAGGCACCTAAAATCAATGCTCAACTAACGAAGTTTATGTGTAGTCCTACATCGGTATGATTTATCCCACTCTTACGTACTCAGCCCTCACTGGTGCGTTAGGATGGTGCAGCCTGCTGCATTGTTGCATCAGAAGACTTCGTGCATGCTCATGGATTAGAGAATCAAGCTATTGAAATAGTTGCGCAAGGTCTTGAGACGGACGATCCTGCTGCGTATGAAAGTCAGAGCGCTATGGAGGTGGCCGGTTACGGGATGTCGAAGCGCTGTGCTGACAAAGTGTTCGAAGCCGCTGGCTTTGCTGACGGTCGAGGGCGTGACTTGGTCGGCGTGGTTGAGTTGCATGACTGTTTTTCCGCAAATGAAGTAAGTCCGCCTGTACTAACATAGTCTGGTGCAGTGACTCTCCCTTAGCTCATCACATACCCTGCTCTTGGACTTTGCGCTCCTGACGAGGCACATAAGATGGTTGAAAGGGGAGATAATACAGTCAGTGTGTTTTATTTTCAGTCGGCAGTAAATGAACCTTCTCTAGTACGGTGGCAAGTATGTGGTGAACCCCAGCGGTGGTCTTGAAGCTAAAGGACATCCACTCGGAGCTACTGGTCTGGGTATGCATTTCTATATCACAAGTGAGTAGCGTTGATTATGCTGGTAATATTTTTCTCATACCGTTTTTGACAGTGCAATTGCGTAATTGTTCGTATAGCAATTAATATGTTTCTTCTCTGTGGTCTCCCTAACGCAGTTTATGTTTGCCAGGGGCAGGACCTATGCAAGCACCTGGCTTGTTCGACATTCCGGACAAGCGGGGCAAATTCGGTCTTGTTCACAACATTGGTATTGGAGGTGCAGCTGTCGTCAGTCTCCTCCGCAGACCCGAGTTCTACAAACCAGGAGGCATCGACGGCAAGGCTAGGTAAACCTACTTTCATTTGAATACAGTCTACTAACCTGTGCGATACATTAGGTTGGGGTACAACCATGCTCATGAATGTCGGCCTGTTACGCTCGCAGATGTCGACAAAGTTAAGTCGAAGAAATCATCGAAGTTTGTCCTTCAGCATGCGAAGCTTTGAAGATTACATACCCGTGAAGTTTATAACGTTTTTGTATATTTGTATATTCTTTGTCAATCTGCAATCAAGCACATGTAGTCCAAGGGATTTTCAATGAAGCAGACGATATTTTGGCACATTGGTGAGAAGTCGATTTATTTGACGAAATTTACCTTGCCAAGGTAAATTGTCGTAAATTAGGTTCAGTCGCTGACTCAGCGCACCCGTTATCAGGGTTCACCCAACCTAACACATCAGGGTTATCGATATTTGGGAGAAGGTTTTAATGTTGGTTTTTGGGCAAAACTTTATGTAAGTTTAATCCTGATTTGTAGGCAAAACTTCAAGTTTCATCCATGACGTACAACATTTAAACCTGTCCTAAATGTTGATAATCCCGATGTGTAATAAGGCTTACTTATTGGGAAACGGTCACTGTGGATTACATAATACGTAGTTCCGTCTGTAAGTTAAACACGCAGCATTTGTAGACTTGTAACTTTCTTGCTGTCTGAAGTACCTACTGCAAGGCACGGGCAGCATTTTGCTCGAACCTATCTTCAAATGCAGGCAACACCATCCAGCGCCCTCAGCACCCTTGCTGACCCTCCTGCTCGAATGGTTGATGGTGCAGCCATGGATTACTTCTTGATCGAAGTTGTGAATGCTCTTCGTGTCTCATCAGCAGTTGCAGCTGCTAGGGCAAGCAAAACAGAGCGTGAAATGGTTGAAGCTGGGTTGGTTCCTCCACCACCACCTGCCAAACAACAGAATCCGAGGGACAGCGCCAGTAGCACGACAGGTAAGATATCAGGGCCTACGGATGAGGAAGAGGGCGTCAGGTCTAGGCTGGAAGTTATCGGCATGCATGTTGGGGGTAACTTTGCGGAGAGGTACGTTGTCTCAAAGGTAATACTTCAGCTCCTAACTTGCCTGCAAGGCTTTGCCGCGATCGCCCATTATTCGGTGACTCTCTAGACGTTATCAAGTTTGTTTGCAAGGATCTTTGGACTTCTTGCTGGGATAAACAAGTCGACAACTTGCGCACGAATCACAGAGTAGGCAAGCCTTTCATGACTGAGAGATTTTGGCATTGAAACATGCGAAGGGGGTCTATGTTCTCCAAGATAATGCATTTAAGCCAATTGCTCGGATTTCCTCGTGGGAGGGTCGACAAGAAGCCCTCAGGCGAGCAAAGTTGGTATGTCGATAGGCTTGCATTTACCATACTTTTACAGGCTTTGACATGTCACTAAGTATGTCGCACTTCCCGCTGGGATCATTCGAGGTGCATTGTCACGAGTCGGCCTTCATGGAACGGTGGTTCCTGAAATTACTACTCTACCTCAGTGTAAGCAATCTTTCTTCGAAAAGACCATGCTGTATGATGCCGAGCTTACGATCATCAATTAGGCACCTTCCAGATCAAGCTACCAAAGAACACATGAAGCTGTAGCACCATCTCAACATGACACCTTTAGACAACAACCAACGCTAGCCCAAGTTGTAGATCATCGTGGCTGCGGAACTTGGATCCCGTCTCAGTAGAACGGTTGAAGATATCGGGGTCACAAAGTGGTGAAATGGAAAATAAGTAGGCAATGCGGAAGTGACAGGCCTTGCGGGTTCCCCGAATCAGTGTATCGATTTTCCGGCGATGGAACTTCTCGATATTGTTCAACTCCTAGTGGATTGATTGTTCACGAACAAGAACTTCAGAGGTTCGCGCCCCCGATCTACGGATGGTTGTAGAATCCCAGCCACGTCCATTACAATTCACTGTCGTTATCACGGTTTGATCGCTGTTTGGAAATCTACGAGTTCTCGGGAAGCATGGGACCATTGCTCCCGCACCGCAGTAAGTAATCTGCAGCAGGCAAGGTCTCAGCCGGCGCTTCCCGAGTAGAAGATTCCACTGTCTGTCCCCCCTTTGAATCTCATAAGCGTTGCTGAATCGATTTCTCGCCGTGCCACAGCATTGCGAAATTCTTCATCTGCACGATCACGACTGGAAAGATCCACCTGATGCGGTAGTATGTTTGACCTTATTGTATGGCAATAATTGACCGATACTGACCACCCTCGTCTCCGTAGCCAGTAAATTCTGCCTTTGAGGTGCGACCTGCAGCGGTTGTGAATCACGAGAAGACTGTCTCCTGCCTTGTTCCATGCAGGCAATGTCGAATGCCTCAAAAGGCGGACTAGCGCTTATGCTCCAGATAAAGTCCCAAGGTATGCTTGCGCGCTCGGCTGGCATGACTGCCGACAGGTGCTGCAAAACGTATCCGACGACCGATGATGTGTTTTCCTCGGGAGACGGCTTCTACTTTTTCAGTTGTAACGAGGCAGCGGTCGCTGTAGTAACTAGCCCGAAGAATAAGGAGCAACTTTGGAAACAGATAGACGAAGATATTGAGCAGGTGCGAATGAAGGTGCTCCCAGACAGGTAACCGTCTCATATAACTATCATGCAGCATAACTCTAGGTAGTAACCGGCATGGTGTCAATATATCTAAGTGTTGAACTTGTCGAGCATTTGAAAACCAGGCGCCTTCTGCGCCAATGGCAGGTTTAGGTCGAAGGGTCTGTATATTATTTTCGAGTGGCCCGGGTACTAGTCGTGGAATCTATATACAATAAAAATGGAAGCTCAGGCCCACAAACAACCCAGAGGCAGAAGTAAGTAGAGGCGGACACATTGCTCGTCGATTGACATCGAATGACGAGCAAGCCGTGGCTGCTGCCGCTCACTTTAGAGAATGCTATATTTGGTTATTTCCGCGTCTGCATCTTTTTATCTTAGTACTTACACTAGTACTGCCAGCCAGTGAGGAAAGATGGCCTCCATAGAGATTGCAGAAGAAATACGCTCAAATTTTCCTGGTACAGAAGAACTCATCGTGCAGTATCTTTCAGGCTATCTGGTCGATGACGCTGGAGAAGAGGAAGATGTTCTTCAGGTGGCCAATGACATCTTGGATTCATTGGGTATGAATCGTCCAGACGACGTAAAGAGGCTTATGACACGCCTACGGGATCTCCTCGCCGATCAGCTGAGTGCACGAGCGAGAAATAGCGGTCGACCAAAGCTGATGAAACTTGACAAAGTTATGGACATGAGCAAGGTCGGTGCTATGTCCAACACCATCGGGCTTGGTGAGGGCGTAGACCTTGAGAGCATCAACAAGGGAAAGTGAGCTTGTGCCTTTGTCGTGACGTCTGCCCCAAACTCAGTGATGCTGCTTCGCAGAGCATCCAGGGTGGATGTGAAAAAGCTTGAGAAACAGGAAGCCAAGCTTAAGGTGGGCAGAGACGGCTTTCCGCGTCAGATGGACACGATGTAACAGTTGCTTTCAGGCCAAGATTGAGAAACGTGCTCGTCGCGATCTCTACGAAGGATCTAAACTACTGGATCAGCACCGCAAGCAGGTCGGTTGAAACACTTGTCTCTTTATACATGCATTTTGATCATATGTTGGGCAGCAAAATTACGAGGAGATGTTTATGAAGGTCACCTAATTCACTTGTGATCATTTCTTTGATCATTCAATGACCTCTTTCAGATCAACCCTATTGAAGCGGCAAATGCTGCCAAAAACAAGAGCAAAGATATACATCTGCCCTCGATTGACGTCAATTTTGCTTCCAATCGTATACTGTGCGTTTCATATTTGGTTCCTGTGATCCTCGTTTTGAGGTATTCCTTTAGTTCAGGAGCAAGTCTAACACTGGCATACGGTCGTCGGTACGGGCTCATAGGACGCAATGGTACGCTTTAAAATATATCACCGTTGGCACCACTATACAACTTCGTCTATTTAGGTGTCGGAAAGTCCACCCTTCTAAAGCACATTGCAATGCGGGAAGTTCCTATTCCTGCGCATATTACCATATTGTTTGTAGAACAAGAGGTAAGTCACTGAACTCTACATATGGGCTTGTGCATGAAATCTGTCTAGATTGTCGGGGATGACACATCCGCTCTCGACTCCGTTCTTAAAGCTGACGTCTGGAGAGATCACCTGTTGAAGGAGGAAGCTTCTTTGAATGCCAGCCTGGCTATGCTTGAAAAGGAAGGCGACGATAAACGGTTCGAAGACGCTAGGGAGGAGGCATCATCGAGATTAGCGGACGTCCACGCTCGTTTGAGTGACATGGACGCCGAGAGTGGTCCTTCGAGAGCAGCCACTCTTCTTGCCGGTGTGTTGATCTGTTGGTGTCGAAGAATACGTTTGATACGAAGTTTCAGGCCTGGGTTTCAGCGAGGCAGACCAGTCCAAGCCTACAAGGACATTCAGTGGAGGTTGGAGGTAAGCTAAATTGAAATCGGACATGGCAATGGTCTGATATCTTGGATTTAGAATGCGACTCGCGCTAGCACGTGCGCTCTTTGTGAAGGTGCGCTGCCTATGACCTGATTGTTCCGAAACGAGGTCTGAAACACCCCTTGTTTTAGCCTGCTCTTCTTTTGCTTGATGAGCCTTCGAATCACATTGATTTAAATGCGTTGGCTTGGTTAGAAGATTACCTTCAAACATGGCCCGGAACATTGCTTGTTGTGTCAGTTGAGCAAGTGTATGAGTTATTATCATTATACTAACACTTTTGACAGATCTCACGATCGTGCATTCTTGTGAGTGTATGGCAATCTCGGTTTTACATCATGAAATGCAATTCTCTATAGAGATGCCGTTGCGACTGATATCGTACACCAGCACTCTGCTAGACTGGATTATTATAAAGGGTTCGTCCAGCGTTCATGCCCGGATGTGTGTGGTTCCTAACGGCAGTCAATTCCCAGGAACTTCAGTCAGTTCTACTCCACAAAGTCTGAACGCGACCGCAATATGCGAAAAGAATACGACACACAAATGGATTACCGAAAGCACCTGCAGGCCTTCATTGATAAGTGGAGATATAATGCTGCCAGAGGTAGGCATCGAAATCAGCGGTCGCTATGATGTTTCCAATATTTTTTTGCGTAGCCTCGCAGGCACAGATGCGAATTAAAATACTAGAAAAGGTAGGTGCATTGCATGACTTGGTTATAACCCGAGACCGATTATTTTGTAGCTCCCCGAGTTGGAGCCTCCAGAAGAAGAAGAGGGTGAAACTTTCAAGTGCGGAAAATCGTGCTCATTCGCCAGTGCAGTGGATTAACGTTCTGGTCACCAGATTCCCAGAGGCAGAGAAGATATCACCACCGTTGCTCCAGTTGTCAGAGGTCACTTTCGGGTATACCCCTGAAAACCTTCTCCTCCAAGGAATCAATATCGATGTAGGGTTGGATTCGCGAATAGCTATTGTTGGCGCGAACGGAGCTGGAAAATCAACTCTGTAAGTGGTACGATTTGTCTCGAAGGACAGTGATACAATTGAAATTTGGTTGGGCTACGTAGTATCAAGCTCCTTACCGCGGAGCTCAGACCCTTGAGTGGCGACTTGAATCGGAATGGTCGTCTGAGGATGTGAGTTGTCACTGGGTTTGTATCATCACCTGTTCACTTGCTTTCTAGAGGTTATTTTTCACAACATCACGTCGACACACTCAATCCTGCTATGACTCCTGTGCAGTTTCTGGCCTCTAAATTTCCAGGAAAGACAGAACAAGAGTATCGAGGTCACCTAGGCAACTTCCAGATTAGTGGAATGACAGGGTGCGTAAACTTTTCTTGATCCACTCGCAGCGTGTTCAAGGACAACAACAGACTCCAGCTTATTGGCACACTTTCGGGAGGCCAAAAGTCTCGTGTCGCGTTTGCTGCCCTATCATTGCAAAATCCTCATATATTGTTGTTGGACGAGGCGAGTACGGAAGGTTACGGGTTATGATTGTTCCTGATGATACCATACAGCCTACTAACCACCTGGACATTGAGGTGCAATACAAATTGCTCTTTTTCTGCTTCCGCTGATTGTTGTTGTGAAGGGTCTGGATGCGCTGATGGCGGCTTTGAAGTCCTGGAATGGTGGTGTGATTGTTATCTCTCATGACGAGCGATTCATCACCACAGTTGCAAGGGAGGTAAGCTCACGAAAATCGGTGTATTTTGACTGCTGTTCAACTATTTCTAGTTATGGGTTTGCGCTGATGGCTCAGTGTCCAAATTCAAGGGTGATGTACAAGCATATAAGGTTTGCACCATACCGTGTCGGGCGATGTCATGCATTGATATTCCGGTCATAGAGCATCATCGTGAGCAACATCAAAGCACGGCCATGATAGTAGTTTGTGTATGTAGTATGGGGGCTGGCCAGTATTGTCGCTCAATCTATTTCGATTTTCGGGAGATGAGGTGAACCGGAGTCCATATCCGTTTGAACTTTGAAGTTGTTACCGTTTTGCTCAGTTATTATGGGAATCAGACAATCATTTCTCCGAGGCACAAGATTTCAACATTTGCAGATCCTTTTTTTCTTGAACGTGACTTCCTAGTAGTTTGTTATTGCTTGGTGGTCACGTGCTGACGCGTTCCCCCGAACGCGACCGCGTTTTGTGCTACTACTAAGTTCTTCCATCAACAACAACGACCGGGCGACTATTTTCAACGATGAGCTCTTCAGAAGGGGAGAGTTTTGACCTTGAAAACGTCTCAGGCACTGAGAGCGAGGACTACGCCCCTCCCATCAAGAAGACGGTGAGTCGTGTCTGTGAGTTGTAAAGGGCGCAACTCAGTGCCACCTTGCAGACGAA